TTCTGTATCACGAATAATGAAATGTGCATGTCTTTCTGCAGATGTTGTGTTAATGAATTCCATTACCTATTTCTTAGACTTGTCGAACTGATTGCACAGTGTAAACATTGCATCCGTTAATATTAACTTAGAATAATAAAATTATATCGCTGTTGGAGTGCACTGTTTTCCTCAACGTGAACAAAACGATAAAGATTACAGTCTTATTTTGTGAAAGTACTGATCATATGGTGTATAAAACAAGAGGTGAGAGTTCATTTCCAATTCAATTAAGTCTTGTCATCAACAATGGTTCACACAGTAGAAATTTCGTGCTGGCCTCAAAACATATCTCTTTTTAAATCCAAAAGGATTTTTTTTCTAATTCAGAAACATCGTGACTTTTTCTTAATTAGTGTGTTATTGTGTGCCTCGAGCCTTTTGTCCTCTTATAACGATCAGTCATGTTAAATGTACCGGACTTCCTTGAAACACAAGTTGTTTATGCTTGAACATCCATCCAATAGACTGGAAATGTACAGTAGTGGCCTGGTTTGTAATGACGTTCGCTATCCATCAATAACACTAGCCTAGGAAGATTTCTACATCTACTGTTACTTTCATCGCTATTGTAACCGCTAATCAAACCGGGGTTGTCGTGGATGGGTCGTACGGACAGGTAGTAATGAGATCAGGGATGTCTGATACAATTACAATTTGAGAAAATAAGATGTGACTTTACAGCATTTTGTTTGGTTATATTCTATAGACTTTTTTTTTATTAAAATAAAAAGTACCACGAAGCGATAATGGTGTAGATAACAGTCACATCTCATGTCTAATTAGGTTAAATCTAGATTTAAATGACCTTGTAGCAGGCAGTTTTTTCCTCCCTAATTTCAACATTGCTCTTAATAATCTCATTTTTATGAGAATCTTACTTAATAAGGATGTCCTGAGGCTTTTGCTCCTATTAGTAAGTGAAGCCCTTTAACACATAATGTGTAAAGTATAAATAACCATTTTCTGTCGCTTGGGAAATTGCCGAGATTTCTTACATCTGTCTGCCTTAGATCCCTTCGACCGCGGACTGTGTTAACACCTATAGCTGCCTTTAGGAAACAGACGATTTGCTATTACCTGTCTTAGCCATTGATTTGCCACTATATCAAACTATCCACTTAGATCTAAATCATCAACGACGAAGTTGGAATTCACATAGAAATGCTCGTTAACGGATTTATATAACTAGAGCCACAACAAAGATGAGGTAGTCTCAGGAGTATGAGACATCTCCATGACCAATTAGTGTCATATCTCTTACAAAAGCAGCATGACGCAACATAACCTTACTCCTGGGAGTAGACATGGAACCAAAGGCGAAGTAATGTGCAGCAAAGCACTTATCATAATATAATCCTAGTGTTTAGGGATGGATTGAACAGAAACAGGAATGGTCATCTGTGTCGGTTACACACGTAGACAATCCAGCAAATTCCAAGCTTGGATAACAACAGACTTTTTTTTAAAAAATTTCTATTCCTTCAATTCAAACGTCTATTTTTAACGACAGGCGAAGATGTTAAGATTATAACTGTTGTTTAGGCGATGATCTTGTCATGCCACTTCTTATTTTCAGGCGACAGTGGTTTCACCTCTATCTTTTTGTCATCTTATTTCACTATACCAAATGTGTAGAACAAGAAGTATAAACTAGAGCGTCGACCCCTCAAAATGCCCGTATAGATATAGGTTTATTTATGCTTTATTCTCGACATATGTTATATCAAGTGTAAACACAAAGATAACCTTTTTATCTCGAACCCGCCCTTCAAGCGACTGAGGTGTGGCTGGCGTATATCTTTCAAGCTTTTCCCTTAACGCAGATTTTGTCACCTGGTCTTGTCAAATGGTTAATGTGCAAATGGGAAAAGGCGAGATCGCACTCGGAGCACATTTTGCGTACCAAGCGTAAGATGTAGAATGTGTGTGGGTGTTTCTGACGATAAAAGTCGTCCTGAATAATAGATGCCGTTCACAAGATACAAATCAACTAGCCGGAAAATACAAAAAAAAAAAAAAAAAAAAATCACATAATTCAAACTCAAAATCTATGAATTTGGAGGACAACTAGCACAAAGTAATCATTAACCTGGCAACTCATGAAAAAGTACAAAAAAAGAAGACCAAGTGTTCCGGAAGAGTAAGTATTTTTTTGTTGAATCGACGGATTTCACAATTTCATCCCACAGTATATTTCTTTTTGGTTTTAGCTTTTCTTGACTACATGGAAGACGAAAAACCAGTTCCACCGAAGTTTTTTTTTATAACTTTCTTGTTATAATAATGGTGTACACCATCTCAAAACAATGAAGAAAAATTTGTTGTAATGATATCAAAGATTAAGCTATTTTACTTTAGATTGACTGATCTTAAATGATATCACATTTATACATCCTCTTGTATAGTTTACGCATCCAATAAAATCAAGAAGGGTTTGCATTTGATTATGTATTGACTATCTGAATCATTGTAATGGTGAATATCATGGACTAGTGTATAGTCTTGTTTTTTCAATGTTTTCGGATTATTCAAACTTAAGCTAATATTTTTATTTTCCAACACGTACATATATCACCATTCATGGAGTTAATTTCGCACCAGTCTTTTCCAAGGTAATCTATTTCATGAATGCAAATGTAAACGATATGTCAATAATTAGCGATGCATATCTGTATTTATCAATAAACCATAAACAAATTCATCGCACGTGGGATATCTGTTATGATATCGAATATTTTAATACAAACTTGTACCTAAATAGGCGTAATGTTGATACTCGTACTAGACACATAATACCAATTGTTGAATTATTGACATAACACCAAACAATTTCATCTGCTTTGCATTTCCACGATTTATGGTCAGATGGTATAGGTAAGGTTGAAACTATTGTAAAATCATATATTTTTGTGGACTCAAATTTCCTAGTTTTCCAAAAAACATTTTCGTTGGCACTTGGATTCGTTGACGAATCTGAAGAATAAACTGACAGGGTTCAAAAAGATGCAGGATGATGAACATTATGGGACTGCTTTAAGGCCATCATAGTTATCCTATTGAGAATTATTATGTTTATTTGTGCGATACGAAGCTGTATGTGCTTGATGCTCGTTAGTTTGTCTATTGGTTTTGTTGTTATATACCTTGTTTTCATTTGAGGAAGTGACACTACTTACTTGGATTGACCTAGATTTTCATGGCGGGTGTCGTCGATGAAGCAGAAGAGGCTTACTCTTCCGGAACATATCATCCTTGTACTTTTCAGAAATCTTTTGTTAATATTTTGTGCTATTGTTTTACTTAATTTGATTTGGTTTCTGATTAAGTTGAAATGTTTTTTTCTTGTTCTTGATTACAATATTCGACAGAACTATAATCTATGTCAAACTTTCTATATGCATGATTTCGAAGACATATGGAAATGAGTGAACTTGCAGTACCCATGACACCAACAACAAAAATCCTAATGACAATTAATGATGTTACAGAGCATTTCAACAACAAGGTTATCGATAACACACGTCACTTTTACTACCTCAAATGGACATCTATTAGCGGAAAGTCTACCTGTGGCAGTCACGCGGGTATATTAATCCTACACGGATCGATCTTAAACCTCTTACTGGAGTTTTCAAGTAGTATCCTGGATGGAACATTAATATTGATACGGCTGTTGAAGAGAACGAGCTTTCTGACACCTCATGGCGCCACCGAAGTGGCCATTTACACGATGTCAGACAGCTCCATCGCAATATTATGACTCGAATATCGCACATGCCTTGGGAGTAAAAGTGTTTCTGGTGAATGCAAATTAGAAATACTGTTACAGGTTTGTCCAGTCCTAGAAGGATGAAACAGTTGTGTGATGCGGTTGAATTCATTATATGGCTATACTTGGTATAATTTTGTTTCTTAACTGAAAGTTTTATTCTATAATCTTTAAGTAAACAAAACATATCCCATATTGTTTAGGTTACTCGTATTATGTCCGTGGTCCTCGTCATTATAGCGCTCTCAGTTGTATTCTTGAACACGTATGGACAGTCATTGCTTGTCCAAATGACTGACTTGAAACGCATCGTTAATATGTATTGCCTTAGATCGCCCATTGTCAATAACTTGTTCAGTGCCGACAAGAAGAAGAGAAGTACTTGGGACAGCTGATGTTAAGCGGGATCACTTTGGATCAAAGTCCAAACGTGAAAGGATGGTTGATGAACAAGTCAAACACAGGACAAAGCGGGATAATAAATCCATTTATGACAAGGCGGAGTTTATTCTACAATACATGACCGACATTGCTTAGCACAAGCTTTTCAAAAACAGACAAAATGCGATTATAGAGAAATGACAAGTATATGTTTTCATTGTTTATTGCAGTATGCTTTCCATCTCGATAGATACAGTTTGAACTCTCAATGCTTAATGACCTGTAAAGGTGCAAATTGCTACAACCTGCTGTTATATAGACCCGGACGCCAATAAAGTCATTTAAAACCAAAATGACACTCTAAAAAACTCTATGGTGCTCTGGCAAATGTTCTGTGTATTATGTGCTTACCCACATGGACACACCAGTATATGTAATATTTTCCACACGATTCCACACAGGCGATGAAAGGTGTCAAATAATACATATATATTTTCCTAATAAATAGAATGGGTTCATTCCGTACACTCTTTTAAAAGTGCCATAAATATTTCAATGGTTATTTTTTCTACAAGCCGACATATATATACTGTATAATTCGTAATATTCGAGAAAGCTTTAATTTCGATATGTATTCAACGCCAGTAAAGTTAGCGCAAAATCAAATACCCCAGAGAACATTTCTGAAGTAAACGAAAATCTATCTATAATACCTATGCATGATGTTTAATTTGCGCGAACTAGCCCTATCCGGGAAAGCCACGAATATTAGCCTCGCGAAATCAAACATTCAGTAAATGTAGCTTACCTCAAGTCCGACGTCTTCTTTGTTTATGCTTGTCACTAGCTCCTTCAGGAAACTGTCCAACTCCTTTCCCTCTATGTATCCATCCCCTATGATAGATATAAAAAAGTATATGATGAAATATTTTCGTGTAATTAATTAGGAATTTATTAATTAGGATTTATAGTGGCTGAATTGAAATCCGATCCATTTGATCCCTTATAAAAACAATTATTACAATGTGAACAGAAAACCAGAAAAGTAACATAACACTAAAGAAAAAAAAACCTATGTTAATTGTATTGCTGTTGAAAACGTTCTGTACTTCCGTTGCAGGTGTTGTGGATAGTGATAATAGATAGCACCTTCCCTAAACCATGAAAGCTAATGCAAATAGTGCTTTCATATGTATTGATTTCGTAACATTGTTGTTCCGTATTGTTATGATATTGTATACCACCAAGCTAGATGACTGATAACACGCTACATATTTGTCCAATACTGACTTGTGTTTTTCACAGTTTGCTGATAAACACAAGCTGAGCATTTTCAGGACGAAGTTTAAAATTAGCTTATATGTCGTGATTAAAACACGGAAAAAACACAAGCTGAACACTTTGAGGACTGAGTTTAAAATTAGCTTACATGTATATGTCGTGATTAAAACACGGAAAAAACACAAGCTGAACACTTTAGGACTGAGTTTAAAATTAGCTTATATGTCATGATTAAAACATGGAAATCGATACGTCTTACACATTTACGATCTAGACTCGTTTACATGATTATCTTTATGAGAATCGAGAGTAGAATTGTCTGCTACAGGTTTCAAATGAACTTTTAGAATTTTCGCCAAATGTGATATCAAAATCACAAACTTACACCTTAACTTCACTGAGGTTGACTTTAGAATAAATCGGTTTCTTCCGTGCTTTGTATAATCTATCTTGAGTTGTATCCGTATCCTATCCTGTATTGGATAGAAATGTACGAATCGGAATGAAATGAATTTTATATTAAAAGACTCTTAATAAAAGATGTCTATAATGATTTAAAACCGACATTGGAAATCCTGATGCTAGTAACTTGGCGAACCTCGGTTATGATATTCACAAATAAATACCCAGATACATGTATATCTACGGTAAGCTTTGCATCGCATACAAAATGTCAGAAATTTTACTACATGCACCCAACATTCCGCGACGGAACGCATTAAGAAGACTAGGTCATTATAAACTCATACCACATGTTCCAATTTCAAATACAGGGACATGTATTTTCTCCTATTTCTCATAACGGGGTTGATATGATAATGTTGAAATTATCCCGGTGTTTAATCAACGTATTCACTAATTATGGTATAATTGGTTCCGGTATGCACGAGAACGGCTATTGCTTCTAAAAGCATGCATATAACATCAAAGACAACAGTTCACCGATCTATACTACTGTGCCCTGTTGGTTATAACATGTCGACATTGCTGTGAAATATTCATGAATATGTCTATATGGTTTTTACCTTGCGACTCCATGTGAGCTACTACCAACCCATGCATGAATTTGATAAAATGGTAATATTTGGTTTTATAGTAATTAATATCCCATAAACATAAAAGGTAATATATACAAACGGGATCGCTTTGTATAATTTATGTGAAATGAGTGCGTGTGTGTTTCCGGAGAGCTGAGATATGCTTGTATGAGAATCCTTGTCATAGTTCAGAATTGATGATGAAACTATAATATTGTTGCTACCTTGCTGAAATACATTACGGAAGACACCCAGCAGGACACCTCATTTTACTAACAACGAGTTGATACATAACCACAATGTCGAACATAAAACAGGGGATATTGAATACATGTTTTAAAGACTCTTGTGTCTTGGGACGGAACACATCTTTTTCACGAGTACGAAACCTCAGCTCAAGTGATATTTTCGGGAAAATGTTGTTTAGAAAGAAAAGAAAAGATTTGATCTGCAATTTAGTCGTCTCTTACAAATCACGGAAAGTGGAAAACCAATACAATTATTACACCCTACCTGCAGGGCAAGAGAAACTGGGTGTTATCAGGGGACACTAAGATGCAACTCAACCGCAATAAGTGACATTGTTCTGTATTACACAGCTCGGTTATAGTTTTTCTATATGTTTCGTAAACATAATGGATTCGTTTTCTTATTTAACAAGCATGTCCAGTTCATTCAGTAAATATGAAAAATGATACATAATTTGCTCTCGTTTATTAGAATATTTTGTTAAATGCATAAAATGCACACATGCAATCATCGAGTGTTGTTTTGACATCAAAATCTCATAAAACGTATATGGTTGTTTTCAAACTATTATCTGCCTGCTATTTATTAGTGATTCGAAAGCCTTAATATTGTTAATTAAACCACCAACCCACGTATTGATTGGGTATTGATGAATTGTATTGATTAAAATAAAAATAAAAAAACGCTGATTAGATTTTGTATAAAATGTTTTGTCCATGCTTGTCACGTGCATTACGTTTTATATTGATCGTCACGATGGAGCTGGGATATTCCCGAGACGACATGAGCGCCGTTTTCTGTACTTGTATTTGATCAATTGTTTAAATTGAGTATAGAATGCCAGATACAGACAGTCCAGTGATGTATGGTGATACACCAGCTTCCATTGACTGTCTATCTAAGGATACGTATAATACCTACATCTGGTCACGTGTCAGGTGACTTAGTAATTACAGCTTCAGTACCCTAAGTCTTCACCCTCTTACTCTTTCATTGTGTCTTTCTTGACATCGAATGTCAATTCTCCGACCAACGGATACACTTTTGACCAGAAACTCTATTCGATAAGAAAGTGACCTTATGATTTGCGTTTCGTGCATGTGGCCGAAGTATGACAGAAATAAATGAGATACCCTCCATCATTATCCTAGCTCGACACGACATAGCCATGGTTGTCTATTTATGTGACGTATAGCGATGTTGTCCACTAGCTGATCTGACAACCTAAAAGATATTTCTAAATTATATTGCTTGACGCATAGTCTTTATGTTAAAATCTTGTTTATTGACTTGGCATCCTAAAAAGAAATTCAATATTTAATACTGTCACTATAGCAATTTAGAATCCATATCACTTGACTAGTCTCAACTAAAAGTTACTTTCTTGGGTCAAGCGGTAGAGTGACTGGCTAGACACCGAAGAGTCGCTAGTTAGAACCCTAGCGCTGTTGGTTTTTATTACTCCTTTCTATTCCTGTTACATCGCGATGATTGGAAATAAGCGAGCACTCTTCTATAAAATGTCATAATACACTACAATACGTTGTAGCTTCATTTGTTTCAGACAAACTTTTTTTTCTATCTATTGGAATTATTTGCTTTACACAATTATTCTGTATTTAACCAACACCGTGTTAATGTCATGTAGGGATAACATTTAAGTTAATAACACCAAAGTATTGAAATATGCGGTGGTGTGTTGTGATTACACTGTAGCATATCTAAGGAGGAAAAAATCATGAACACGTGATGGGACACCGGAAGTACAGATGTTATTTGATTTAACATGTGTTGTGCAAATATGGAACTATGCATGTTACCGGTTATGATGCGCTGTATATAGACCGAATGTCAACCACAACAATGTTCACTCTTTTGTCACAATATTGATTGTATATCTAACGTGAAATACATACTTGAGATACGGTTAAAGATATGATATAAAATTTAGAACAACAGCAGTTTTAATGTCCTCAAAGGAACTGCGCATCGTAATGTCTAGTCTGAATATGAGACAGTTGTATTATTTCCGGTCATCAATTATCAAAGCTTGGTTAATTATCTAGAAAAAAGGTGTGGATTATAATATTAAAAAAACGTTGATTTAAATGGGAGCACCGTGTAAGATTCACCAATACCCTTTTTCCATGACAGTTGTTTATGGTGCTTTAAAATTGATTTGCAGTCACATATATAATACAATATTAGCTAGAAGGAACAATATTTTACACTTTGTTTCCATTGAATTGTGAATCCATGCGATCTTTTTGCAACGAGTCATCTCTAGCTGTAGCGAGTGTACTCATGTTATACTTGATATTATTTGACCTTCATTCCGAAAGACACTCCGCCTATTGAGCATATTGCAAGCATCAGAGTTCTTTACTTATCTGAGGCGGTGTTATCTCATTCTTAAATGACTTTTGAACTCGTACATAGTTAAAAACAGAGGATGTTAACTTCGACACATAAAGGCCTATTCAGTACTTACGATCACATACCTCACGGAATATGTACTAAGCATAGCAAAAATGTCATTATCTCTTAATGTATTTCAAAACCAAAGAAAACTAGTCGAATGACTATTTGAAACATTTGTTGTTGAATTGCATTGTGTACTTGTAAAGTTGCTGACGGCATAAAATCCAGTTATATCCATTCCATGACACTATGGCATTATTGCCTGAACCAAATTATAGCGATCTTCCAAACTTACCGGATTCGAACTCCTACCCACGCAAACATTAAGTTCGGTTGCAAAATATGTATGCAGTCTGAGCATTTGACTCGTAACACAGCTGTTGTAGACCCAGTGTGCTGTGACGTCAGCTTTCATATCTAACTATCACAAGTGGTACTTATATATTCACATCCTATGTATCGACCTGACAATAATATGTCTGTAACAGAAATGATGGTTTACTTGCATCAATATCGGGTTACAGTCTTATTGCGATACTGTCTTCTCAAGAAGTAGAAATATAAGTATGGGTATCTCAAGGTTTTGTTCTCTAGTTGTGTGAGCTTCCTTTTTCCAAGACAGGTGGACGGCGATACAGGTATATAGTTGTGAGCTAAATTGAAGCGTCTCTCGTGAAAAATATGTCCAAGTCAAAGGCGAAACGATTGAGTTTCTGCCTGACACCATCCTTGTCGAATTGGATTGCAAGATTATTCAAAAGACTATTACCAAACCTCAGAGACCAAACTATGCCCCTGTGTCGGCTGACTTATTTTTGTTTTCATATGTGGCTGAATTTATCGAATAGCTAATGAAAACATACCGCAAACAGCTGACAAAGTCCTCCAATTTCACGTCCATATTAT